TTGCCCCAACTGCAGAGTTTCTGGTTCAGCAGATCTGAGGTGGAGTCTGAGAAGTTATATTTCTTCTGACTAGTTTCTAGATGATGCGAATGTGGTTGATCTTGCGCTGCACTTTGAGAAACACTGTACTAGGTTTTCTTCTGAAAGATAGATTTACTTTTCTCATTTAGATCTGTGATCCATCTGGAATTGATTTTTGTTTATAGCATGAGGTAGAGTCAAGATACATGCATGTATTTGTACACATATATACATATATGTATATGTGTATGTATATACGTGTGTGTGTGTGTATGTATGTGTGTATCTTGAACCTGCCTTGCAGTGGTTAAGCGTTTGGCTGCTAACCAGAAGGTTGGCAGTTCGAATCCACCAGCCACCCCTTGAAAACCCCTATGGGACAGTTCTACTCTGTCCTATAGGGTTGCTATGAGTCAGAATCGACTTGATGGCAAAAGGTTTATATATAGGTGTGTGTGGGTGTGTGTGGGTGTATACAGTGCTGAGTCAACGGGGTAGCCAAATGGAAAAAATATATATGTTGTTGTTAGTTGCCATTGAGTCGATTCCGACTCACGGTGAACCCACGTGTGTGTAGTCAGAATTGCCTCTATGACAACTAACTACAACAACGTAAATGTTTTCTCCAGTGTGGCTATCCCCTGACCCAGCACCATTAGTTGAAAAGACTGTCCTTCCCCCCGCCCCTGCCCTGCAGTATTTCCTTTGTCATAAGTCAGGTGAGTGTAGGTTTCTGCGTGTTTCTGGACTGTGTTCCAGTTCATTGGTCTCTTTATCTCCCCTTAGCCAATGTCATAATGCCTTAATTCCTGTAGCTTTCTTTCAGTTCTATTTGTATGATAGACCTTTATCTAGCTTTTTACAGTCCACTTTCTGTGTCCTCATAAGTAAGGTGTTTGTCCTGTTAGCTGTTTAGTTGAGCTTTAATTTTTGTCTAGTCTTGAAATAGAAGCCTGGATTGTTTTTCAGCATTTCTTTTCTTCTGTTATATGCATTTGAAAGTAATTTTGTTGTTTTTAAATAATATTTTCATTTTTAAAAATTACAAACCTTTACAGAAAAATTAGCATTATAGAGAACTTTTTATCTTGAACCATTTGTAGGTAAGTTGCCAGTCTGATGCCCCATCACCCCCAAATGCTTTACTGTGTATTTTATAGAAACAAGGACATTTTCCCACATAACTACGATACAAGCATCAAAATCAGGAAATTATCGCTGATACTTTACTACCATCTAATCTTGTAAACCAATTCAAGTTTTGCCAGTTGACCCAATAATACCCTTTACAGCCAAAGGATCCAGTCCAGAATCATGGGTTGCATTTAGCTGTCACATCTCTTAAGTCTCTTTCAATCTGGAATCTGGAGCAGTTCCTCAGTCTTTCCTTGACTTTCATGACCTTGACACTTTTGACAGTAATAGGCCAGTTACTTAGTAGAATATCCCTCAGTTTGCCTTGCTCGTGTTTCCTCGTGAGTAGACTCAGACGTGCATATTTGACGGCAGTCACACAAGCAGTGCTGTGTTACTCTCGTCGCATCCTGTCGTGCTGCGTCCCATTACTGGTGATGTTCACTTTCATCATCACGTTACGTTGATGTCTGTCAGACTTCTCCACCGCAGTTACTCTTTTACTCTTTGTAGTTGAGTATTGTCTGGGGAAGTACCTTGAGACTTTGTAAATACTACGTTCCTTTCTATTTGATTACTTATTTATTTAAATCTGTATGAACTTTTGGCTTCCTAATTTTTAGTGGATTATAATCTGTTACTGTCATTCTTTAGTTGGATATTCAAAATATCCCACATTTGGCTAGTGGGAGCCATTCAAGATGATTTCTGTTTCTTTTTGACCTGTCTCCATCATTTTTTGAGGACTTACTTGATTCCTGGTACTTTTTGATTTCTTGTACTTTTTTGCCTCACCTCTGCATCAGCCATTCTTCAAAGAGACAGGCTTCCTTTTAATGGGGAATGGTATTCAGAAACCAAGATCTGGGAGTGCTTGGTCTGCTCATTGCTGTTGGATTGGTGCTGCTCCCTGGCCGCCTTGTAGGACAAAACCAGAAACCAAACTCATTGCCGTCAAGTTGATTCCGACTCATAGCGACCTTATAGGACAGAGTAGAACTGCCCCGTAGGGTTCCCAAGGAGCGGCTGGTGGACTCGAACTGCCAACCTTTTGGTTAGCAGCCAAATGCTTAACCACTGTGTCACCAGGGTAGCCATCCTAGTGAGAGTGAATGATATTTCATTGTGGTTTTGATTTGCATCTCTCTGATGGTTAATGATGCTGAGCATCTTTTCATGTGTTTATTGGCCATTTGAATGTCCTCTTTGGTGAAATGTCTGTTGAAGTCCTTTGCCCGTTTTATGATTAGGTTGTCTTCTTGTTGTTAAGTTGTTGAAGTTTTATATATGTTTTGGTTATTAGATTCTTATCAAATATATGGTTTCCAAAGATATTCTTCCTGTCTGTAGCTTGTCTTTTCATGTTTTTGGTTAAGTCTTTTGATGAACATAAGTTTTTAATTCTTAAGAGGTCCCATTTATTTATTTTGTATTTTGCTGTTTGTACTTTTGTTATTGTATTAGATAATTCATTGTTAAAAGCTAGGCTGGACAACACTGCCCCTGCATTTTTTTTCCTAAGAATTTTATGGTTTTAGATTGCATATTTAGGTCCTTAACCCATTTTGGATTTGTTTGTGTATATGGTGTGAGGCGTGGATCCTATTTCATTTTTATGCATGTGGAAATACAATTTTCTTAGCACTGTTTATTGAAGAGACTCTTCTTTCCTCATTGAATAGACTTAGCACCCTTGTCAAAAATCAATTGACCATAAATGTGTGGTTTTAATTCTTGACTCTCAATTGTATTCCATTGGTCTATGTCTATTGTTATACCAGTACCAGGCTGTTTTGATTACTGTAGCTGTATAATATGTTTTTAAATCAGCAAGTTTGAGTCCTCCTACTTTGTTCTTTCAACATTGTTTTAGCTATTCAGGGCATCTTGCCATTCCATATAAAGCTGAGGATTGATTTTTCTATTTCTATAAAGAAGGCTGTTGGAATTTTGATCAGGACTGCATTGAATCTATAGATCACTTTGTGTAGTATTGACATCTTAACAAGATCAAGTCTTCTAATTCATGAACATGGAATATCTTTCCATTTGTTTCTATTTTGTTTTATCTCTTGGTTTTTGGTCATTTTTCTCCTGTCTCATTAGATAATTTATAATTGAATGCTGGACATTATATTTGAAAAATTTTAGAGGCTCTAAATAATACTGTTTCCGAATGATATGTTTTCTTTCTCCAGAAAGAATTTGATATGCCTCTGCTGGCGGATAGAGTATGGACTGATCAACTTCCACTTCATCTATTCGAGAATCTTTTTCTCTTTGTTCCTAGTGTTCTAAGTGTAGCTCTTGTAGGGTCCCAACTGAAAGTCTGGGATGATTACCAAAGCTTTTCATCCAACATATTCTCTTTCTCTCTAGGATCTTGGTTGTCTAATCTTGCCTGCTTTAGTTGTTAATTAGTGTCTTCAAACAGATTTTTTTTAATTCAACTTTTTAGTTTTCGGTGAGTTAGTCTGATATCAGCTTCTCCATCATAACTAGAAGCAATAGTCCCCTTTTCTATTTTATTTTTTCTACATGTTAGAGTAAATAGCATGTAAATTATGTTCTGTTATCCTAATCCTCACATCTGTGTTAATATTACTTAGAGAATTAAAAAGATTTGCTGCTCATGGCAGTCCTTATAACTTAGTTTTCTTTTTTCCAGGTGTCATGGTTTGAATTATGTCCCCCAAAAAATGTGTGTATCAATTTGGCTAGGCTGTGATTTCCTGTATGTTGTAAACCTGCCTCTATGATGTTAATGAGGGAGGATGGGTGGCAGTTATGTTAGTAAGGTAGGACTCAGTCTACAAGATTGGACTGTATCCTGAGGCAATGTCTTGGGATATAAAAGACAGAAGTGAGCAGTGAGATAGGGGGACCTCATACCATCAAGAAAGTGCCGGGAGCAGAGCGTGTCCTTTGCACCGGGGTCCCTGCGCCGAGAAGCTCCTAGTCTGGGGGAACACTGATGAGAAGGCCGAGAGAGAGAAAGCCTTCCCCTGAAGCTGACGCCCTGAATTTGGACTTTTAGCCTACTTTACTGTAAGGAAATAAATTTCTCTTTGTTAAAGCCATCCACTTGTGGTATTTCTGTTGTAGCAGCACCAGATGACTAAGACACCAGGCATCTCTGGCTTTTCTTTCATTTATTCTTTATTACATAAACTCAGGAAAGCAATGTCTCAGAACCTGAAACTCAGCATTTGCACTCTATTTTTGTGCATTTTAATATACATGAAGCACCCTTCAGCCATGCTGAGCTGTTTATTAGGTTATCTGAGTTGTCATTTGGTTAGTCAGTTATTATTTTTGTTAATGCCCTGGTTATAAAGTTGCATAGATTTGAGTGGTCTACTCCAGCCCTATTTTTCCCATGAAACTTGTAAATTTTGGTAAGTTTGCAGAAGGCGAAGTATTTTCGGAACACATATGTGGTATTGTAGTAGAAATTTCTGTTTTACAGTGTCTAATCCATTCACTTGAAATAGACATTATTTTACGTTTGCCTTTTATTTCCGTATGGAAGTTTTCTTCTGGAACTGGAAAATACCATGTGTTTGATTTCTTTTTTTTTTTTTTTTCCAGATTTGGAGTCCACATACAGGACCAATAATTTATCTCCAGAAAAGGACATTTATGAAATATATTCATTCCAATGGGAAATAATGGAAAGAATTAAAAGCTATAGCTTTCCAGGCTGCATTTATGGAAATGATTGGGAATGCCAAAACAAGATTGAGGGGCAAAAGGAACCACAAGAGGGATATTTTAGGCAAGTGAAAATTACCCCTGAAAAAATAACCACTTACAAAAAACACAGTTTCCTTACTGAATATCAGAGAATTCATAATGGAGAAAAGTTATATGAATGTAAGGAATGTAGAAAGACCTTTATTCGTCGCTCAACACTTAGTCAACATCTGAGAATTCATACTGGTGAGAAACCTTATAAATGTAAGGAATGTGGGCAGGCCTTTAGACAGCGTGCACACCTTATTCGGCATCACAAACTTCATACTGGTGAGAAACCCTATGAATGTAAGGAATGTGGGAAAGCATTTACAGTGCTCCAAGAACTTACTCAACATCAGAGACTTCATACTGGTGAGAAACCCTATGAATGTAAAGAATGTGGAAAGGCCTTTAGAGTACATCAGCAACTCGCTCGACATCAGAGAATTCACACTGGCGAGAAACCTTATGAATGTAAAGCATGTGGAAAGACCTTTAGACAGTGTACACACCTTACTCGACATCAGAGACTTCATACTGCTGAGAAGCTTCATGAATGTAAGGAATGTGGGAAAGCCTTTGTATGTGGTCCAGACCTTAGGGTACATCAGAAAATTCATTTTGGTGAGAAACCCTATGCATGTAAGGAATGTGGAAAGGCTTTTAGAATATGCCAACAACTTACTGTCCATCAGAGCATTCACACTGGTGAGAAGCCCTATGAATGTAAGGAATGTGGGAAGACTTTTAGATTAAGGCAACAACTTGTTCGCCATCAGAGAATTCATACTCGTGAGAAACCCTATGAATGTATGGAGTGTTGGAAGACTTTTAGTAGTTACTCACAACTTATTTCACATCAGAGCATTCATATCGGTGAGAGACCCTATGAATGTGAAGAATGTAGGAAGGCTTTTAGACTGCTCTCACAACTTACTCAACATCAGAGTATTCATACTGGTGAGAAACCTTATGAATGTAAGGAATGTAGGAAACCCTTTAGACTGCTCTCACAACTTACTCAGCATCAGAGTATTCATACTGGTGAGAAACCTTATGAATGTAAAGAATGTGGTAAGGCTTTTAGACTTTATTCATTTCTTACTCAGCACCAGAGAATTCATACTGGTGAGAAACCCTACAAATGTAAGGAATGTAAGAAGGCCTTTAGACAACATTCACACCTTACTCAACATCAGAAAATTCATAATGCAATTTAATACAAGAAACCCTTCAAATGGACTTTGTTACCAGACATCACAAAATTCATTCTTGAGAAAGTTTGTTTCATTCTCACAATTACCTCAGCCTAAGAGATTTTGTATTAGATAAAAATATGTTGATTTGAAAGTCTCCTGTTACCACTCAAACGTTTATCTTCAGCAAACTCGTGAGAGAATAATGTAATGAATGTAGGAAAATCTTAGCCTTATCTATCAATATATCCATTCCAGTACTTTATTACCAATATGACATTGAACAAGATACTTCTGTGCCTCATTTTACTCATTTTTAAAATGGTGATAATGTGTATTATTTATTGCTGTATAATTACCACAAACTTAGTAGTTTAAAATAGCACACATTTATTATCTCACAATTTCTATCAGCCAGAAGTCCAGGCATGACTTAGTTGGGCCCTCTGCTTCATGGTCTCTAACAAGGCTACAATCAAGGTTTCAGCCAGGGCTGGGGTTGCATCTGAAGGCTCGACCGAGAAATGATCCACTTCTGTTGGTTAGAAACAAGTCACTAGGCCAGCCCACAATCAAGAGAAGGAGATTACACAAGAATATGAATACCAGTAGGTGGGGGACCATTGGAAGCCATTGTAGAGGCTGCCTGTCACACTGTGTAGGATTGTTGTAAGAATTAAGTAGTTAATACTTGGAAGAATAACAGCTACATAGCATGTATTCTGTAAATATTTTCTATAATGGTTATCATTAGTACTAGTTAATTCATGAAAGAAAGATCCTATAGAAGTAATAAATGTAGAAATGCCTTCCGTCGCCTCTCAGCACTTATTAAACTTTATTCTGGATAAAAGCTAGAGGATTACAGTGAATGTGATAAGTTCTTCATCCTTTCAGCTGCATCAGAAATTTTATGTTGAAAAGTGAATTTTGTGATTGTGGGGTTATGAGTACAACTGTTGAAGAATCAGGGATGTGAAATGATTTTCCCATGATGAATTCCAAAAAACAAATGGCTTATAATCTCCACTGTCTGACCACAATTCAAGATGAATTAGAAATGATTAAAAAAGATGGCAAAAAGACCACTTGGAAATTTAATATTGTGTGTGTGTGTGAAGTCCCGTAATTGCAATTCAGTTGAAAATCAATGTAGTTTTTGATGTTCAAAGTGCTCTGTTTTTGACCAGTGGGAATTCTTTAAAGTTGGGTCTTTTGACATGACCCGACCAGTAGTTTGATGGCTTACTAGATGATGGCCACACAATTTGATCAGCTGTAGAAGATGCTGTGGCACTAACTCATCATTCTGGAAATTGATAAGGGGAAAAACTGAGCATTTATCTTGCCTTTCCGATATGAACCAAGCTTCAGGGTCACCAAAAGTTTATCAAATTGAAGTGTTCTTTTGTTTTTAATTTATTCACATATAGAAAGAATGATAGGATTAGAAAAACTACCATTTTCTAGCCCCTATTGGAATAAGTAGTCCAGAAAATGATCAATGAGAACTGTATCATCAGTTTATCAAGCTGACCACCTCTGGAACCTTTTGATCAATCTTAACCTCAATAAAAGTGGGACTGTCAGACAACACGCACCTCCTGGTATAATGCAATAGGCGGTACACAGCACTACCTATGAAGACTTATTGTCAAAATAATGAACTGAAGGAATCAAGCCTTTAGATAAAATTCTTTAAAATCAAGAATTTGCGGGAAGAGCTGAACAAGGTAAATGACACCACAAGGAAGCAATCAACCAGATCCAGAATGTAGAATTCTACATATTTGACCTGATTTCATCAACCAACATGAAAAAGGAAAGGAGAGGGACAACCATTAACAGATTAAAAGAAACTTAAGAGACGTGAACAATATGTGTCCCTTAAGTGGACCTGATTTTAAGAAAATTAAAAAAAAAACACTTGGAGATAGTGGGAGAAATGTGGAAATGGACTAAATATTAGATGATATTTAAAAATATTGTGTTAGGGGTGATAATGTCAATGTGGTTATTTAAAAATGAAAGATCTTATTTGTTAGAGATACTTACAGTTTATGAAATGATGTCTGGATTTTTTAAAAAAATTCCAGAAAAAAAAATTGAGGAAAAGAGCTGGAAACTAGGTTGGCAAAATGTCGATAATTATTGAAGTGTGGTGGTTTGTTCATGGAAGTTCATTGCTCTAATATTTATACTTTTGTATGTGTTTGAAAGTTTTGGTAAAAAAAAATTTAAATGCAAATTAAAACTGAAATGATAGGCTTCTAAGAAATGAATGATAATGTAATGACTACACATCTAAACTTGTGGGATGTCACCAAAGTTCTATGCAGTGAGAAATTAATACCCTTTAATGCATTAAGGAAACTTCATTTTTGAACCCAGTCTTCGTCTTATCCACTTTAGCAACCAGTGAAGGTCCTGTCACATAGTGGACCCTTGATAAATAAATGTATTGAAGGAATAAGTATGTGAAGAAACCACAAATGGAACAGAATAAAACCAACACAAGTAAAAAGGAAAGTACACTTAAAAGTAGAAATTAAGAGACTACACACTATTAGATTTACCCAGTGTTATCAGTGACTAGATTTTGGCGGGTCTAATGACGGAAAAAAATGAAAGAATATATTTAGAGCATTAACGATAAAGGTGACATGGCTATGGATTGTCAATGAATTTTTTAATTATAAATTAATACATAGGTGTATGTATTCTGGTACATGTAAAAATATCGAGTAACCCATTGCTGTTGAGTCGATTCTGACTCGTAGCCACTCTATAGGACAGAGTAGAACCGCCGCATAGGGTTTCCAAGGAGTGGCTGGTGGATTTGAACTGCTGACTTTTTGATTAGCAGCCTGAGCTCTTAACCACTGCACCACCAGGGATTTCTTTTTTGTTTTCTATGAGAATATGTTACCACAGTTGATGCTGTAGAACCTGAATACACCAACAAATGTGTGTGTGTAAACTCCCTGGGTATTTTTGTTGGTTTTAATATGACAGTTTTAAAGGTAAATGAGTACGGCTTCTGGCTAGAAACCTATGTGTGATTTTTCTGGCCTGACCATAGGACAGAAGCTGCCCACTCTTACCATACTTGATGTACAACCAATGCATTATAGTCTCTGAAAGGAGTTAGCCAACTACTCAGCCCTGCCAACCAGCCATGCTCTTTCACATATCTACATTTCTAGCCCATTCACCTCCATATGGAGCCCTCTTTATTGGGGGGTGAGGGGAAAGCTTCAGAAGAGGGCTTCCTCAGGTGCCCTGCTGAAGCCTTATCATGGGGGGGGGGGCTTTAAGACACTTCCTTACTCTGACACAGTTCTCAGTACTTTTCTACCACTATCCCTTTCTCTTCACCCTTCCCCAGCCCCAGCCTGGGGGTCCATAAAACTTCAGGAGCTTCTTGTTCAGGGCTCCCTCATCAGTGAGGTGGATCCTCACATCTGCACTGATCTGCCTGACCCTCGTCCAGATGCTGTTCCTGGGGAAAATGGGACTGGGAGGATCTAGGTGCCTTCTCTCCAGGTTGGAACTCTTGCTTATACTATCACAGTGTGATAAAAGCTTATTACCTTCATTTTGGCTTGTCTTAATTGGCTATTCAGACACCAAGCAGCTCAGTTTTCTCAGCTCAACTCCCTGACAAATGGGTACAGAAAGCAGGGTAGCCCATTAAGTGCAGTGCCATTCTGAGAAAGCAGAAAGCCTGAGAATCCTGTGGGGCGCATTGCCAGTGCAGTGCTAGCAAAGTCTGTAAGGCACTTCCAGGAGGTGCTAGCAGATCATTTGCAAGAGTCTGAGGGTCCTGCATGGCCCTTTGCCAAGGGGTCTTGGGAAGTGCTAGTGGAGCCCGAGGGACACTTCATTGGCCATGCCAATTGGTTTCAGGAAGTGCTGTGGGGCATTCTTGGAGAATGCTAGTGAAGCCCTCGGGACACTACTGGCTATGCTGTTGTGTCTTGGGAAATGTTAGCAGAAGCCAGGGGTTGTTCTTAGATGATGCTACTGGATTGTCTAAGCTTTTTGGTTCTGAGGGGGATGATCTCGTTGTCCCCTAACTCCCCAGCTGATCTCACCCGGTGGGTCAAATTAAAGATCCAAAAGAGGGGCTCTACAAAGGCCAAGGAGGAGGTGGGGCCAAGATGGCAGAGTAGTCAGACACTTCTGGTGGACCCTCTTGCAACAAAGAAAGACACGAAAAAACAAGTGATTAGATTATATATGGCAATCTGGGAGCCCTGAACATCAAAGGCAGAGTTGAGGAACTAGACTTTAGTGGCAGGGGGAGGGAGACATGGTTCAGAAGCAGAAGGAGTTGCCAGACCTGACCCAGCGAGAGCCTGAGCCCTTCAGGCCTAATCAGCTCATGGCTGAGCGGTGAAGCAGGCAAGCAGCAGTGCTCGGGAGGTGCGTCTTCCACACCAGGAGAGACCCAGCACCAGAGAGTCTACTCGCCCACCCAGAACCAGTGAGAAGCAGCCCTGGATCGGCAAAAGATAAGTACTTGCATATGGCCTACCGTGTGGATCAAAAACACCCTTCTTTGGGAAAAAACCTCTCTCCCATTTACCTCTCCACTCCTTGCTCTGCAGTGGGTCCCGGACCAGGTTCAGCAATTGCTGAGTCCCCTGGGCTGGAAGTAGGATCCATCACATGCCCTAAGCCATTCTCCCAGCCTTGGAGAGTGGACAAATTAACAAATGGGAAAAAATAAACTGCCAGCTCCCCTAAGCCAGGAACCCAGAGTAGGCACAGCTCCTTTGCCTGGGCACAGGCACAAGGGATCCATGGACTTTGAGTGTCTTTCCCCCTGCATAGACTTGCGTGGGCCCATCTCAACAGGGTCTTCCTTCACCAACTTGCTTTTCCTCCAGCGCCCTGCTGCATCATTCACCAGAAAAGAGAGGCCTAAGAACTCTATCAGAGCCCTGGAGGCACAGTGGTTAAGAGCTATGGCTGCTAACCAAAAGGTTGGCAGTTCGAATCTACCAGCCACTCCTTGAAAACCCTATGGGGCAGTTCTGCTCTGTCCTATACGGTCGCTATGAGTTGGAATCGACTTGATGGCAACGAGTTTTTTTGTTTGTTTTTTTTGTTAAGGACTCTATCCAGCCGCCATTGACAAACAGAGGAGAGCCCATGTCAGGGAGAAAAACACAAAAGCCCTTGGAAGACAAGATAACGTGGAATTTCCTCTTCCTTACACCTCCCCTGGAAGGTGGCTTTTAGGGATGCGGCAGCCATGCTTGCCTGCCCTACGGGCACTTACCTTGGAGAAATGCTGAACTGGTGAAGGCCTTAGGAAGCTAGAGGCCTTGCTCAGAACCAATTTAGACCAAGTCGTCCCATGGTGCTCTTTCTGTGTTGTAAACAGACATAGATCAGAGAGACAGTAGCTACATCTACCTTTCCTGGTTTCTAAAAGAAGGGTATGGTTGCCGCCAGCTGGCCTTAGACTCTCTAGGAGGTCATCTAGTTGGGAAGGAGCCCTGTCTTGGGAAGGCATCTGGAAGTGTAAGCCCCCCACTACCACCGGTCAAATAGCAGGCCAGCAAACTGGCCTGCACAACCCAGAAGGTTCTGAAGGCCACAGCCAGGCCCAGGTATAGGATGGAGACTGTCAAGATTTCCAGGAAGGCTCTCGAAAGAGGCAGGGATCCCAGAGGTTGGCTCCCAGGGCAGGGGCCTTGCTTGCAAGTGTCTAAGCATCCTCCATGACCCAAGTTCAATGATCAGTGCTTGCCTGGGGATTGGGGTGTGGGGCATGGTATTGCCTAAAACGTCGCAGGAGGTAACTTTCTGGGAAGATGAAATATTCTGTATCTCAAGCTTCAGTCCTATGCTTATAGTAATGGAGGAAGCTTCAGTCTTCAAGAATCAATTCTCTGCTCTTGACTTTGGGTCTGGGTGTTTGTTGAATTCACAAAACCATAAAATTGTACAAAACTTTATTCCCACCATCTAACTTTAGGTAATGTGGACTCCTTGTTCTGCAACCCCTGGAAGCCCATTGGGGAAGCTGTTGAGAGGGGCGGTGTTGTTCTGTGACTTACAGCACATCTTTAAAAATGTTCCCTCATTCACCACGAAAAGAGAAAGCAAAAAGTGAAGAAGTCCAGGGGGGATATCTGGGATTTTCTAGGCTTGGGGATCAGGGATAGGGTTCTTGTTTAGAAGCTCCCTAGACAAGCAGCATTACCTGAGAATATTAGAAAAGTACATGTATTGGGCCCCTCCCCAGACCTACTGAATCAGAGACTGTAGTGGTGATTCCAGAGAGCTGTGGTTTAACAAACTCTCCAGGTGATTCTGATATACACTCAAGTTTGAGAACCTCTGTGAGATTCCCACCCATGGAAAATCTTTAGTGTGTCCCTTCCCCCTTGTAGCTTACACGATGGAAACTTTATTTTATACAATATGTTTATACTCACTAGAGTTCATTCATACTTTTTTGTATTTTCTTCTAATTGCATCAGGTGGCCAAGATTTAAAAAAAAAAAATCTACCACAGATTACTCCTTAATCGTTGTTGGTCACTGTGGTGAATTTTTTTTTAACTTTCTTTTTAAAACTGTGGTTTAGATGAAGGTTTACAGAGCAAATCAATATCTCAAACAATTAATACACACATATATTTTCTAGTGCCTTACCTGAAAGTTTACAGCTCAAGTTAATTTCTCTTACAAAAATGTATACACATATTGTTTTATGACATTAGTTGCAATCCCTACAATGTGCTGGCACACTCCCCCTTTCCACCCTGGGTTTCTTGTGTCCATTCAACCAGTTCCTGTCCTTTCCTGCCTTCTCATCCTGCCTCGGAACAGGAGCTGCACATTTGGTATCATGTATCTGATTGAACTAAGCACACTCTTCACAAGTATTGTTTTATGTTTTATAGTCCAGTCTAATCTTTGTCTGAAGAGTAGGCTTCAGGAATGGTTTCTGTTCTGGGTTAACAGAGTGTCCAGGGACCATGGCTTTGGGGGTTCCTCCAATCTCAAGTCAGACCATTAAGTCTGGTCTTTTTTACTTGTACACATGTTGTTTTGTGACATTGATTGCCAATCCCACGACGTGTTAACACTCCCTTCTCAACTTTGGGTTCCCCATTACTAACTTACCTGTCCCCTCCTGCATTCTCGTCCTTGCCCCTGGGCTGGCGTGTCCATTTAGTCTCGTTTTGTTTTACGGACCTGTCTAATCTTTGGCTGAAGGGTGAACCTCAGGAGTTACTTCATTACTGAGGTAAAAGGGTTTCTGCGGGCCATACTCTTGGGTTTTTGCCAGTCTCTGTCAGACCAGTAAGCCTGCTCTTTTTTTTGTGAGTTAGAATTTTGTTCTACATTTTTCTCCAGCTCTGTCCGGAACCGTCTACTGTGATCCCTGTCAGAGCAGTTGGTGGTGGTAGCTGGGCACCATCTAGTTGTGCTGGACTCAGTCTGGTGGAGGCTTTGGTAGTTGTGATCCATTAGTTGTGGTGAATGTTTTATACAAACTACCTCCTTTAATCCTTTATATATTTCGAAGTCATCTTATTGGGTGTCTACAAGCTGAGAATTGTTATACCATCTGGGTGATTTTAACCTTTATTATATAA